CCTTAATCTCTTACAAGGATCCTAAGACATCAACAAAAGATTCATGATCTTCCATACACTCCTATTTACACCAAAATAGAAAAGGACTAAAAACTGCATCTTCATGTTCTGGATAGTGTTGTGCCTGTCTTCAAAGCTCTTTTGGTTGCTACTTGCTACTTAGCCATTTATCCATCCAGAAGTAAGTATTTTTCCCATTCCCTACCTCAGGAAATTTATTCGTCAGTTAAAGCATTGAAAGTCATCTGTGTCATGGATATATCACAAAAAGTATGCAAACCTACATCCAAAAGCATAAATGATCTTCAGGCTTAACAAGGAAATTACTACTCAATCACCACCAGACTGAAGAAAAGGTTTGATCAATGAAAAGGTGCACTCAAGGCTCAAGCCCTCTGCCTACACATCTCTTATTCTAGCCAACTTGCATGGTTCACCAGTTCCACCAATTGTAAGAAAATTACTTAAGGAGTATGGGAGATGACTCCCTAGACCGATCAATTATCCTTCAATCGCAAATTAATTAGGGTAGGTTATATAAATCCTATTTCTTCATGCTGCTCTATTCAATAGGTTCTCTAAAACTAGAAGTAATTTACATCTCACATTTATCCGTGTATTGACATAGAATCTATAACCAGACTTAACATACTTAGATAACAGTGAACCTAGCGCGAGAGTAACAACAATTAAGCTTTACTCCCCAACCAAAAGAGCAGTATGTAGATCCTTTACTTCCATTGTGCTTATAACTAATCGTCTAATCCATATTAGTTTGACAGATTGTAATTTTTTTTGTTGCGGCAACTTTTGTTGTCTACCTTGGATTATTTCAGTACCTTCAATCATCATAGTGTTGCATCCATATGAAGTATATGTAGGAGCGCATGAAACTATTTCAGGCGATCTTCTCTTCGTTATCATCTATATGTACTACTTGCATCCTCTGTCATATGTGGACATATCATCTATATGTACGCCATTTTTCTCTAAAGACTAAGTCAAATATACGAACATTGTCTCCATTTCAGGAATTGGAAAAAAACGATAGTAGTAAACATGGGCGGATCTAGGTATGGGATTGGCGGTGCCACGCCACCCGGATGCTCGGGTAAAATTTTGTTTGTGTATTGATATTTTATACAAAACGTCTATATATGTAAGGGGTAGCACCCGCAGTCACAAATGGACTCTAAGCGCCATGGTTAATGTGCCAAACTCCCAAATGCAAGATCCACGATCGATACTCAATGCCTACGTTCCCATTCCAATTATTTTGTTCCTTCTTCTTTCTTTCTTTTTGCTCCTTTTCTTTATTTCTTTATCTTTGTATTCCCTCCTCTTTGAACCCATTTTTATTATTTATTAAATTGCTTCATTTTTCTTTTCTAGATTTTCAAAATTTTACTTGAATGTGGTTTAAATTTTTTCTCGTTTTATCCATCTACTGTTATTTTTTTCCTTGATTTCCAAAAAATTTAAGAACGATGATTAGTTTAAAACGAATCGAACAGACCAAATATACACCCTAATTCAATATCTTTCGTTAGTGGTTAGTTCCAATTAAAGACAGTGGCAAACTACAAGAAGCATTAAAATAGAGATAAAGGATAGAGAAACATACCAAGAGAATTCCATCAACACTTGTCCTCATCCCCTCCTTCGTGTAGCTGCACTCAATATTGTTAAGGCAAATTACCAAATGGAACACAATAAATATTGAAAATTTAATATAACCACCCCGATTTATTAGGGATTGAAGTAATAAAGCGCAAGAGGGTTTTATCTAAGCTTTTAAACGATTTGGTACAAAGACTAGAAAGCATATTCAAGGAAATAAGGAACGTACTTGAGTTTCATGCGAGCAAGGCGATCGGCAACGGAAGTGTCCTTCTCCATTTTAGGCTCTTTTGTGCCAAAGGTATAGCTAGAGAGCGGGTATGTGTTCACTATAGCTGACGTCACCATTTTTATGGCTTCTTACGGTCAACGGCGAGGAAGAATACTCAAGAGTTGTTTCTTCCGTTTTCCTTTCTAGTGAAAATGGTTCATCATCCCTTGATTTGCTATTAAAATTGTGCTTCTGGGTTTGGTGCGTGGCGCTTCTTTCTTTTATCGCGGATGTAGAGCCTGTTTGGACCGGGTTTTAAGCACTTATTTTTAACTATTAATAGTGTTTGGCAATTAAAAAAAGAACTTAAAACAAGCTAAAATTTGCTTAAAAAAAGTAAAAAGCAACAAATTGGGTAACCGAAATTTTTCGAAATTGGCTTAAAAGCCACACCAAATATTTTACATTATTATCTCTTATAACTTTTCTTAATTTCGAAATTACTCTTCAGTAAAAAAACCCTAAAACACACGATATCTTTTTTCTCCCTTATTGTTGCAGACTCTGCCTTCTTCTTCATCAGACTTGTGTAAGTGAAAGGAGAAGCTTTTGTGTGATTTATCATCTCCACTATATATGTGATATATATGCACCAGATCGAACTTGTCTTCACCGATAGGTGGTGGGAAATTGAAAATAGCTTTTGCAAGCCTATCTCTAATCTATCCAAATCTCGTGAACCATGTATGAAAACTTGGCATTTTCATAAGTTTTTGTTCTTTTGCTACCCTTCTTTTCTTTGTGTTTGCTTTGGAAGTTGGGAAATTTAGGTTTACGTGAGTCAAAAGAAAATAAGTAATCAGCTATAAATCAAATATAAATTATTTTTTATTTACATTTATTATATAAATCAAATATATTGTAGTAATCAGCTCTTTTATAATGTTAACAGCTCTACAAATATCTCTGTCTTTAATAAAAAAGAAAGTTCTTGCCAGCACTTGTTTACGAAACACTTCAATAACTTTTTTTAAGCTTCAGTGCTTTTATCCAAACCGTTGTGCTTAAAAGCTACTTTTTTCCAGCTAATCCAAACAGGCTCCTAGTAATTTCACAGGGTGCTTTTCCGCTTGTTTGGATTGTTATATGGTCATTCGACCTTTTACTTTATTATTAAAATTATTTTTTTGTAATAATGAAATTATTCAACTTTACTGTTAGGCGGCGCCTTCCTTAGATTTCTTGGAAGTGTAGAGATGGCAAACGGGGCGGTGCGGTTGCGGGGCAAATTCGCATAAACCCGCGAAGATTTAAACCCGTCCCGCTCCCCATAGCATTTGCACCCGCATACACCCGCTCCACATTCACACCCGCATCCACCCGCCTCGCACCGCATTTTTTTTCTTTCATTTTTTAAGTTTTATCTCTTTTGAGCTTTTGGTTGGACTTTCTGATTTAATCAAGCAAAAAATTGAAATCTCTTTTGTTGCTCTTAAGCTACTATACCCTTTAAAAAAATTATTGAGCCAAAACCTAATCTATTTAGTAAGATAAATGTTTTTTTATTTAAGATTTGCACCACATTAGTGTTTTAAGTGATTTATTAGAAAAAGATAGGAATAACACAATTATATTCGTGAAGAATTTCCATGATATAGATGGTGTATTTGATTTTTAAACAAAGAATTTTCATGAAATTAGCAACATCTGGCCCATCCCAGATCAGTGTTCAACCATTTTGATAGTTCAAAATTCAAACTGATAATAAATATAGACCACCTATTTGTGTTTGCCTTTTTCCAACAAAATACCTCATTTTCAAACGACATTGAAGGCGCAAGTGCAATTAAGCACTACATTATGTCACTAATATATTTTATTACCCCTGCTTAGTGACCGTGGTTAGATTTCAGATTGAATGTGACTTTTTTTTAAAAAGACTCGCACCCGCCCCACAGCCCGCAAAGATTTTTTCTTAAAAAAAATAAACCCGCACTATATCCGCACCCGCACCGCCCCGCATGGGTTGAACCCTGTCCCGCCTCATTGCCATCCCTATGGAAGGGCGATGTAAGGCTAAGCAATCGATATCCGTACAGTTACTATCCACCAATTAGGGTCTACTTCGTATGCTAGACGAGACTGTTAGTGTCGTACGGAAAAACCGATGTCAAGAGCAATCGAGAGAACAAAAAGAGAATGAGAGTTAAAGAAAACTTGATTGCATTAATAAAAGTTATTACAGAAAGGTAACACGGTGTCGAGGGGGAAAGATACCAATACAGAAAAGTATTTGCTTGCTCGAATGTTTGATTACTTGATCCCCCTAATAATGGTTTAAAAAAGGGCAAAATAGTCTAGTAGATCCTTGTACCTGTTCCGGTTTGACATCCCGGTCCTCCTACTTCACCTGTTTTCATCCAGAGTCTTTAACTTGATCAAAGCCTATATTTTAAACCCCTCTGACTATGTTTGTATCTCACTTGCTTGACGTGGATGCCACATCATATTCCACGTCATTTTTTATTTTCTATCTACTAAAACATTTATTTTATAGTATTTTCTTAATGAAAAAGAAAAAAAAATTAATGCCTCCATGTCATCTCCCTTCTCTCAAATTAGCGCTACTTTGTGCTTAGCAGTGCACATATTTCTTCTTCCTTGTCCGTCTCATATCCCTTCTTCATTCTCATTTCCCTTCTCTGTCTAACCATTCCGTCGATGAATAATTATTTTGGTAATTTTAATTAGGCAGATGAACATCGCATTGTTCTGAACATCGGCAATCAAGGCATCGCCGGAGCTGGATATTGTGTGCTTGCAGAGATGGATTTGGGGAGGGGGAGTTCACAACCACAAAGGGGAGGGGAGAAAGAAGAAGCTGGGTTGGGGGTTTCATGACCAGAAAAGGTCAAAATTAAATAAAAACAGGAGAAAATAAGTATTGATAGCAGAAACAGGTACTTTTAGTAAGGAATTTTTGGGAATTGGGTTGTTTTTTGTTTTTTGAGGGGGAGGGGGGCACAGTGGGGAAGAAGAAGAAGCATACAGGAAAAAAAAAACAAAAAGGGAGGGGGTGATGTTGTGGGGAGCGGGGAAGAAGAAGAAGAACGTACTGGGGGAAAAACTAAAAAGAAGGGGGTGGGAAGCTATCAAGAAAAAGAAATTAAATGGGTGAGTTGTGGGGAAGAACAGAAAGAGAGTATCTAGTTTGTTTTTTTCCTTTTTTACTTATTTTATATTTATCTTTTTATTTTATTTTTATTCTTATTTTAATATTTTTTTCTTCAAATTTTAATTATTTCTTGCTCAAAATCTTCGTATTCACGCTCGTTGTTCGCGTGAATTACACCCACTTTGTCCATCTCAACTATTTTATTCCATATGTGCTTGGTCAACGGTCAGATGGGTTTAAAATATAGGCTTTGATCAAGTTAAAGTGTCTGGATGAAAACAAGGTAAGTAGGAGGACAAAGATATCAAACCGGTATAAGTACAAGGGTCTACTAGGATATTCTGCCTAAAAAAAATAAACCAAAGTTACATAACTTGACATAACTAAGCTAGAATCAAATAATGGAGATACAGGAAGTAAAACTATTCTATATTTACAATAAAAAGGACCTAGATTACTACAAGGTAGCAGTAGGTCCGTTGGCGGTAACTTTGTCTTTAGCATCAGAGTCTGCACATCCGGCATTGTTGGCATCTACCTATGGTTGGGCGCTGAGGAGGGCTATTGGTGGGGTGACATAGGCACAGACGCGCTTGTCACTTGGCGCGGCCAAGACCACGGGGTCGCACATGACACTAGGCGTTGAGAGGCTTGCTAGGGCTGGGGCACGTCCAAGGGGTCTTGGGGCATGGCTAGAAAGCCGCCCATGACATTCTCTCCTACATGAGTTGGCGACGTCCTTGGCGCCTTACTTGCTAGATAATCATCGATCAGGCTCTTTTAGGCTTTGAGGTTTGTTTTCCTCTCCCAAGTATTCTCCTTTGTATCACATCCTTGCCATTTCACCAAGAAATTTTGGTGATCTTTCCTTGAAACATGAATCACTCAATCATCGAGAATAGCTTTTGCAAGCCTTTCCTAGAGTTGGATCCGCGAGGGATCCTCCATGTCTTCCCGAAAAGGTTTCAGAAGGCTGACATGGAAGACTAAATGAATCTTCCACCAGGCTGGGGTATCCACCCAATACGCAACTTCCCAAATGTGCTTCTCAATGGATAAGGGTCCAAAGTATTTTTGCAATAGGCGAAGGTCATGGACCCCTACAAACAAATATCGCTTTGGGAATTTCATCATCACTTTATCTCCTACTTGGTATTCAATAACGAAGCAATTTTGATCAGCATGTTTTTCCATCCGTTTTTGGGCTTTGACAAGATAGCTCTGCACTATCTCCAAATTTCGCTTCCATTCCTTCGAGAAGCTAGCAACTCGTGGAAATTTTGACATGTTTGGGGCATTCACAATGTGCGGGAGTAGCGGTTGATATCCGGTAATAATTTCAAAAGTGCTTATGTTTGTACTAGAGCTCTTTTTTGAATTGAAATACAATTGAGCAGCATCCATAAGCTTTAACCAATTTTTCTACGATCCAATAAAAAAATGGCGGAGGTATTCCTCCAGCATGCCATTGAACCGCTCCATCTGGCCATCAGATTGTGGATGGAAACTTGAACTGTGGCTCAACTTGGACCTAAGTTACTTAAAGAGCTGAGTTCAAAAGTTGTTAGCGAAGCGAGAGTCGCAATCACTAACGATGTCTTTAGGCATGCCCCACTATTTGACAATATAATAGAAAAAAATTCGAGTTGTATCTTCTGATGATATATATTTTGGGTTGCTATAAATGTAGCATATTTAAAAAATCGATTTACCACAACCAAGATAGTTGTAAGATCTCCGCTCTTGGGAAATTCGATGATGAAATTCGATGGCATGCTTTCCCAAGGTCTCTTTGGAACAGCCAATGATTCCAAAAGTCATGCTTATGTCAAGCGTTCTGACTTATCTTTCTGGCATACTAAGAAAGTCTTCATATACTGAGCAACATCATCAGCCATTTGAGGCTAATAATAAGCACGACACAACAATGCCATGGTGCGTTCTTCACTTGGGTGGCCGGCCCACAAAGTATCATGGTATTCCATCAGAAGAGTCCTTCATAGGTCCCCTCCTTTAGGGACATAAAGTCAGTTCACTTCCACCTTCAGGAACCCATATTCCATATAGAATTGGTTGCCCTATCCTACCAAATCGACCAAATGATATGCAGCAGAATCCTTAATGAGTAGATCTTGTATCTAGGGTTTTATGGTGGTGGCCACTTTGCTCACCCTTAGGGTGGAAAGTAGGCACACCTATGCTAGGTCAGCCCTTCGACTAAGCGCATCAACAACTTGGTTGGTCTTCCCACTTTGGTATTCCAAGTTAAAATGAAATTTCGCTTGGAGTTTCTGCCACTTGGCCTATCATCCATTTAGCTTTGGCTAGGTCATGAAATTACGAATAATCTATTATCTGTCTTGACCACGAACGTGGTTTCCATCAGATTGTGCCTCTAAAGGCATAAGCAGTGGCCGACAACCAATAATTCTTTTTCATGGATGGGCGTAGCGTCGTTCTGCATCCTTCAACTTTCGGCTCCCACACATAACTGGATGCCCCTCTTGTAGTAAGACTCCGCCCAGAGTATAGTTGGAGGCATCTATTTGTACTTCGAATGACTTAGACAAATAAGGAAGGCCCAACATAGGCTACAAGACATAGTCATTTT